GTTATTCTACAAATGTTTTCATTATGGGCAGTGGTTAAGTCACTAAGTACATTAAATCAAGTAATTTAATTGTTTTAACTTTCTTCTTCTACTCCACTACAATTCAGAGGTAAATAGTTTACTTTTACTCCACAACATTTAATGTATATCTTTAGTTACTTTGCCGATTCGGATTAATATGTAAAATGTAATCAACACTTGAATAAGACTTTAGTTACACCTGGAGGTAACATTCACAAGCTACCATACAAGTCATTAAAACTAGCTGCAGCTTTACCAGCTTTGATAAACACTTTAATGCATCAATCATTATAATACAAATATATAATAAATTATTCTGAAAGGACAATCTGCATAATGAACTGCTTGGTACTTTAAGTATATGTTGACGCTAATACTTTTGTACTTTTACTCGAGTAACATTTTGAATGCAGGACTATGACTGTACTGTAAGAGAGTATTCCTACACTCTGGTACAGATACTTTTACTAAAGTACAAGATCTCAGTACTTCTCCCACCTCTGACTATAGCATGCAAACAACTAGGTGATTGTGTTTGTGTCGACATCTAAAATAGGGCGATTAAATAAATAGTAATTGTTGAGAAATGCAGTCGTTTTGATGAGGTTGTGAACACCTTGCTATGCCGATAGCAGTGGTCTCTTTCCCCGCATAGGCCATTTCTCTGCTCGGGAATTTAAAAGGCTCAGTTAAATGCCCGCTCGACCACGCTGTAGGTCAAAGGAATCAAAGCAGACTTTCCATAATGCCATTTTTCACACGGTGGTACACTTCCAGCGAGAAATAAATACCACATCTCACACTATGGTTATCATTCAGACACTACGAGCACCACGAGTGAGGCTACACAAGTTAACTGCTCATAAACACTCGCATTGTTTAAAACACATCACACTGCGATGAAAATAAACATCTCGGCTCAAACACAGAGAATTTCTCCGAACACGACAGCAACCTAATGAACTTTACATCTCGGAGGTTATTCCATGTGCCACTTACCAGTACGACGGGAATGCCCCCCCAGACCCCTTTGTCTCAGTCCGACATCCTGAACTCCTCTTCGGCTCACTTTGAGAAACACCTCTCTTTTTCGGCGACAAGACAACGGTTGAATCCGCTGGCAAGTTCATAAAATAGCTGCCCACCGATAAATTCCAGCAACAGGCGTCAGGTAGCGCCGTTTTCCCCCCACTGTTTACACTTTCCGTGAGGTTTTGCTTCGCCGTTTTCTCTCCGGTAGCTCCGTGGTAACAAAGTAACGTCCTCGGCTGCACCAGCTGCTGCTGTTGCGGTGGGCTCATGCGTTTCGACGTGAAGGGCCCTCCTCCTGCATGGGAGTTGTAGTCCTTTAGAGTTTAGTGTCAGTACTACAAACACCCACACATCAGAATCGAGTTTATTGCCAGGTACGTTTACACATACAAGGGAATTTGCTTTGGTGTATGGAAGTGCAAACATACAAAAACATAAGAAAATAAGTTGTAAGAAAGTGTCAAAAAGACAACAACTATAATATACAAACGTTTTAACATTAAAAAGAATAAAAACAAGTATTTACACCAAATATAAATATACAAAATAAATCTTAGTACAATCAATATATGACAATTTATGACAAACTGCAATATTTATTTAAAAAAAGTAGGGCTGTGCAGCAGATGTTCCCAAAACAGTTTTAATGTATAATTATACTATTATTTTTTTCTTTACTATATTTTTCAAATTCCTATAAATATTCAAAGTATTTGTATCAATATTATGCATTAATCATTTAAATATTTTCTCAGAATTCTGACTTTTATCTCAGAAAAGAGATTAAAGTCAGAACTCAATTATTTTTTAACTTTTGGTCACATCTCACGTTTTTTGCATCATGAGGCCTCAATCCTCTTCCGTAAAACATCATAACATCATGTCTGCTCATTAAAACACATTATACTGCATAAGTACTATAGCAACTCTGGTATGATTTCACTTCCAAGTGTTTTTTGTCTTTTTGTATAAAAAGAAAAAAAAAACATGTGGAAACCTTACAGCTCCTCTAGTAAGACAATACCAGAGGAATGGAAACAAATGTTATTGGAAAATGTAAAACGTTTTAATACCATCATGAATGATACTGCTGATAAAACCCATGGCTTCAAATTCCATACAATTTAAAGGGGTTCCCCAACTGTGGCTGACTTTTCCTCCCTTGTGTGCCCCCTGGTGTCAGAACAACTGAAATTCACTGAAGCCTGCCATTGCTTACCAATCTCTTCACATTCTCATTACATGTGAAATTAAGTGAAGGCAAGTATTACAAACTGAATAAAGATATCTCAGGATTAACTGTCATCCTTAGCATTAGCTTTTCTATCAGCCTCATTCAGATACTCCTGGTCAGCATAGAGGAGAAAAGCCAGTGAAGGTGCTGTCTGTCCAGAAAGGATCAAAGAAGAGTCGTTCTGCTCTGCGTAGAAGATCTGCAGCCACACCTGGTCAGACTGCTGCAGCTGGAGGACAGTAGAACCAGACGCCACATCATGGTTCCCTGTGTTTGCATCAAATGTTCTGATCTTATACTGTCCATTGTGTAGCAGCCCAATGGCCAGGTGCTTGTTTGCCAGAGTGATATCATATGTGAAGTAATAGACCCCGGGGACAGCACAGACAAACTTCCCACTGCTGGCATTGGTAGTGATTCCCTTCATTCAGCATAATCCGGCTGAAGCGGATGGGCAATCGCACTTTGGGGTAGCTCTTTGTCACCGCCACAGAGAAGGCTGATCGAGCTGCACGGCCACAGTTACATCCTCCTGGAGCTCCCTGCTGGCCCACGTCACCCAGCTTTCCTTTAGGGCCCCGTTTTCCCAAACCCCCCGGTGTTCCTCGCAGCCCCTTCAGTCCCTCGACGTCCAGCCTTGCCGATGACACCTTCACGCCCATTCACACCTGGCTTGCCTGGGTTCCCTGTCCTCCCTGGATCACCTAACAAATGAGGACATTTTTGTATTTTTACAACTTACAACAATGACTAATCATAACTTCATTCATCATTCAGCCTCTGAAGCAAGGCATCCAACCCCCACACTGCTTCTCCGGCCGCTGCCTATAGCTACCTACTGCTCCTAACACTAGAATAGGTTAAACGCAAAGTATGTGCTGTGTACATGTGTTTCAATTAACAGGATTTGATTCAAATATTCCTTTCCATTTCTCATTAAAAAAAAAACTATATGATAACGCCAATCATACTGTAGGTAGGGCAGATTTGAATAAAATGTTTAGCTGCTACAGCTGTTGTCCTTGAGACCCAAACAGAAGTAATGTGTCTCTGTAGAAGACTTTTTTATCTGACCCCATCATCAGAAAACCGTAAATCAACATTAAGGTTCAAGCCGGTAAGATGTTGTGTTATGTCATCTTTGTAAAGAGTTGAGGGTCTCTACAACCACAAACGATTCGCATTACGATAGAAGAGATTCAGACAGTAACTACCTCCATCTCCCTTTTGACTTTTCTCTCCATCCTTCCCGGACGGGCCATCCTTCCCTGGAGGCCCCTCAGGGCCCATGGCCCCGGGAGACCCAGGGGCTCCGGGGTACCCGGCAGGCCCCTCTGGACCTGGCAGACTGCAAAGCAGCTGGGAGGAGTGGATGGTGATGTTGCGACCTCTCGGGGGCCAGGAATATGTTGATTTGGAGAAGACAACTGACGGCAAACACAACATCACACACATCTGGAGCATGATGTTAACTGTGGAGCCACAAGAAGATGAAGGAATGTAAATGTTTACATCAATAAATGTGTTCAAGTTTTGTGAGTAAGTCGAAAAATATGATTTCAATGTCTTTTATCATAAAACATCTGCCAAAAACATGGGAATGGAAAGTGGTGACTAAATGCATAGTATCAGCTATAATCTGAGGAAAACAATTATTATCATAATGTTTTAGTCACTGTCATGCTCTGACTCAGGTCTTACTGATGAATATGAGATAAATCAAATCTGCCTACAGCATGTTTTTCGCCAAGGGAGTGCATAAAACGCTTCTTAATCAGAGAAAGAACTCACCAGTTGAGAATGTATGACCCATAGGCATCTTTCAGCTCTACGTCCTTTTTCTGCACAAGGGCACAGACTTTCCTACAATGTTTTCCAATAACCGGATGAGATAGCATTCTTCAGGAAGAGCTGCAGAGAAAAGTGCAGCCCAGTGAATCAGTCTTTAACATCCGCCCTGTTTAGCAAGTACAAGGCCAACAAATACTTTCACAGTGACGTCATTAAACTCCAGTCAGTGCAGCAGGGGTGCACAGCTGAAGTGGTGACGCATCGCTTGTTCACAGTCAAACTCTGGGGAAAAAGGATGTTATATAACAGACATGTTTAGAACAAAGCATTTAAGGTTTGTTATACTGTTTACAATTTTGATAAAGTTACAACTGTGTGCGTTTTAAATATAACTCCCTAACAAGATGTTCAAGTGCAGAATCCAACAGAACAACAAGATGGTCTGCGGTATAGAAGTGTATAAAACGTAATGATGTGACCAGATGTGTTTACAGATGTGGTACAGATCTAAAAGGTCAATACAATATCCCAGCTGCTGGGCGAGGCAGTGCCTTGTTTAGAGATCTACCTTTAACTGGAGCCATGTGAACATAAATAACATAACTGCTGGTTTTTGGGAAACACACAACAAAAAGAATCACACAAAAACACGTGGTCACAAAAAAAAAAGTTCTCGAAAACCTGCACATGCTGTAATTTAGTAGTTGTTTTTAAATGTAGTCGTCAACTAATAAAAGGAATACAATTAAATTGGGGAACAAATCAATAATAAAAGCTAGTGATCTCAAAAGTTGTGCATTCATTTTTGCATTCAATCTAATTCCAATATTTATGTGGTAGTGTAAAATGCACATACTCCACACATGAATCCACTGCTGTTTACAAGCTCTACTCTTTGCATGTCCAAAGAGAATAAGTTAGAATCTGTCGAAAACATTTAAAGGTGGGGTAGGTAAGTTTGAGAAACCGGCTCGAGATACACTTTTTGTTATATTCCATGGAATGCTCTTAACATCCCGATAGCAATGAATATCTTAAGTGCTTTGACAAAAAATCCATTAAAAAATGTCATCTGTGGAAGCCGTAGTACTGTAAAAAGCACGACCAATCATTTTAGCCGGCTCGGCTAAAGTAACTGGATGGCCTACCTGCCTGTCAGCCTTCCATCTGTGCACAAACTTATCTCGTGCCCTCATTGGTCATGTGCGCGTTCGTGTGTGTTGGAGGAGGGGCTCTGTAAGGAAGTGGCAGATTTTTTCACGGTTGCGTATTTTCAAATTCTAGCGCACTCGAGCGGTTTCTCCAAAATTACCTACCCCACCTTAATTGAATACTATCCATCATTAAGAACCACTGAAGAGATGAGCTACATTTCTATTGCAACTGATGTTGACCAATATGCATAACAAATAAAACAAACTGTTCACACAAGAATTCAGGCAAACATACATTTTATTATAAAAATATGCAATAATCCGAATAAAAAGTAGTTGGATGTGCTACTATTGAGACATGAGCGGAGGCCTCGGTAATCTAAAAACAGCACTTATATTTTCTCACATGGAACTTAAGCATAAATCAGTATTGTCTTATGGTCTGTCAACCTGTGGCCTCAAAAACAAAAGTATCCAAAAAGAAATGAACACATTACTGTACAACGTTTGTCGAGTTTGTAAACAAACATTTGCTGAACTTTTAGAGTCTGATTATTTTGACCGAGCAGCAGCTCTGGTGAAAGTCCCTTGGGAGAGTTTGGGTGAGGTCAGCAGGTCACTGGTTGAGGAAGGAAGCCATGGGATCATCCTCCCGGCAGCGCTTCATGCGGAAGGCCTCCATCTCCTCCTCAGTGGGCGCCTTCACTTCCTGCAAGCTGTTGTACGGCCTCTTCCTCTCCTCCACCTGCATGATTGCCTCGATGTGCTTCACCCGCTTGTCCTCTGCTTTCGAGTGCCTGGGAGGAAGAAACAAGTTGGAGGGAAATCAGCAAAACCTGAGACGAACACAGAACAACATTTTGGCAATCTGAAACATCAAATATTTTACCTTCTTCAGCTTCTCCTTTTTCTTCTCTGCGTCATCTGAATCGCTGCCGTCAGAGTTGTGCTTCTTGTTCTTCTTGCTCTTCTTTTTCTTCTTCTTTTTCTTTCATCATCTTATCTCGATGCATCTGGGGACATGGACACGGTTTTAACTTACTAATCCAGGGATGGTAGAGCTTTTTAAGAATACATTCAAGCACTCTTTAAAAAGGTACAACAATAAGATTCACAAACGCTTACCATCACATCTTAATTGTTAGTATATAAAGCAATTAAGAAATGTATAGTTTACACAATTTCTCTATAATCGGAAGCTATTAAATGTATACTGAACATTTTAAAGATATCTTAGTGGTTTTAAATATACGTTTTGCATTTGACGGTATGTTTTCATCTTGAGTTTAATTCATTTCTAGTCAAAGCAATCAAAATGGTGAGTATACAAAATAAAACAAACTATATAACTGTAAAAAACGAGGATACATTTGGGAATAAGGCATTTTTTTTTAAGGATGACATATTTCATATATATTTTCAAGCACATCCCTAACTTTGAAAATAAAAGATAAAGTCATTCCAAACCGTCACAGACTTTGTACAAACCCCCAAATGACACAATTAAGGCGGCAAAATGAACATAAACGCGTCTCAGCGCCACTTACTTCCAGCAGAGTCTTGGGCGGTTCTTCATCCTCGTCATCCATCAGTCCCTCCTCAAATGGAACACAGTCCGTGTGGTTCTTCAGGTTATGAAAAAAATTAAAAACACCAAAATAAGTCACAGAGCTAAAGTTAATAAAACTGATGTGTGAATCCTACAGAGCCTTCGGACACTTTATCCCTTACCACTCTAAGTCCAGCATCTCCTGTGCAGTAACTCATCTTGACCATGGAGTGACAGCACTTGTATCCCCAGTAGCGTCGGTCCAGAAGGAGCCCCAAATACACTAAAGACAGGAGAACAATTTTAGAATACAACAAAATGTGATACAATTCAGCGGGACATTTCTCCGGTGTGTTCTGCTGTCCTTACATTTGTGGTTGTTGATGACCACGTCCTCCTCATACTTGGAGCGAGCCACGGCCTTGTCCTGCCCCTTCAGCACTGCCCCGTGACGAGAGTACTCCACGTAGTCTTCCGTCTGGGCCAAGAGCAGCTCCCGTGGCGGGGCATCCAAGTGCTCTTCAACCTCCGTATGAGAGTCGCACACAAAAGCAGAAAACATCAGCAGTGAAGTCTCCAATCTGGAGGAATAATTAAACTACCGTAAATGTTGGCTGAGGGTTGACCTCTTACCTTCTCTAGAATGCTGTCCCTCTGTTTCTCCTTGAAGTCCTCCTTCTTGACCTTGAAGGACTTGTGAGCAGCTCCAGCTTGGTGGGGTCGGCCTGCAGATGCACCTCCGAGCCCCTCTCATAGGCCTCCCAGGCAAACACTGTCACAAGATGAAGCAATTTTCAGTTATTTACGAGGTACAGTACAGACAACAGCTACAAGTGGGAGAGGGAATGTAATTTGTATGTTATCTTATCGTTAGGGTTTAAGGGATTAGGTCTGCATGATATAAGGCATGGGATTACATGAATATTGTTTATACTTATGTGATTAAAAAAAAATACAAAATGTTGAAGTGTGCACAGATCTGCTGCTAGAATATAAACATTTTTGCTAAATTTGAATGTATATGCTTCTGTAAGTAGCACTTATAATATATTATTATGATATATATTTCCAGTATCTTTTTTTTCATAACAAAATTATAATGCCATTTTAAAGTGCGGGTTCTTCCTAAAACTCTATTTCAACTATCTACAAAAAAAAGCCCTGATTCTCTTTGTGTCCCATCTCATATCTCCATGTCATATCAGAAGAGTGGATATGCTTTGAGGGGGGGGGGGGTAAGAAATCCCCCCCAAATCATGTTTTAATTGAGCTCTGTCTGCTAGCTGGGGGTTAATGTTATCTCCTCAGAAGTAAACTCTGTTTTTGCAATATCAGACAAATCACAGATCTTAGAGTGGAATTGGGGACTTACATTGTGTTTGAGCCATGTTGATGGTGGCCCCACTGTAACGAGCAAAGTTGTCTCCAGCATACCCAACCCTGTCAGACAAAAAACATTTCAAAAATTGTCATCAATATGAAACAATTCGAATGTTTTACCTATTTGGAAATACAGTATTGACAACTTACTCGTCGGGGTTCATGCCGGTGTTGGAGTATGGGTTCTCTCTCATAGCTCGAGTCTTTGGGTCATAATATGCTGAATCTGGATCCAAATTCCTCAAATACTGCAAGAAACAGACATGAGAAGTTGATATTAGTGGTTGTCTCGGAGTTACATAAACAGTTTAAACAGTTGACATCAGAGGTATCACTGTAGTTCAGCAGATGCAGTTGGCCTGAGTCTCCAGATGTTTTCCGTACTTTAGCTGTGTCTTCTCTGATACGCAGGTTCCTGACAGTGATTCTTCTCTTGGAGTCAAAGTTCTGACCAGGCATATCGATGTCATCTGCATATTTATCTTCATCCTCATCCTCACTGTCATGTTCCCGCTGCTGCAGAGAAATTATTAAAAGAAAAAGAAAGTTAGTCTTCTAGACAAGAGATTGCCTTTTATCGCTTTACATTAGACAACAACATTGCTACTGCGATCTTGACCGCTCACTTACACCTTGGTCCAGTTTTCCAGAGGCCAACTCATCCTGAAGCTTCTGGGCCTTCAGGGTCCTTTTGGCCTGTGAAGCAGAATTAAATACAAAGTGAGATCCCAGTGGTAAACAGGAAGCAGACAACTCAGCTATAATGACTATGGTGACACAAAGGTTAACACTTGAAGCTTGATTCACCACTAGACTGCTTACCACATCTACTTTGGCGTACTCTTCCACGATGCGATGGTGGTCCTCAGGGTTATACCCGTTCCAGCGATCTCGCTTCCCGTCATAGTCCAAGTCCAGCTCTACCTGACTGTGTTCATCTGGAGCTATGCTGGTGCCTGTAAACTTCGCCCCAACTTTTCTGGGTCGCTAATGAGACAAAGATGA